TCCGTTTTCAAGTAAGAAAAAACATTATTTTTGTGAAATGGTATGTTTATACGTATTTTCAAATATTTTTATAGTATACCTATACAAAGCCGTGCTCTGCCCGGAACAGCTCTGGATTTTACGTTGCTCTTGGGCATATAAGGAGGAATTACTCACTTGTGTCGAGCATTCGTAAGACAGTTTGACGACAAATCAAATCTAGTGATTTGATTGGCGAATAGTACGACTTGCCAATTCTGTTGGCACTGCCAGGCGCAGAGTGCTCGCAGGCTCTGCTAGGAAGGCCTGCGTTCCTCTTCGCTACTCTTTTTGATGCATTTCGTTGCACTTCGTATCCTGACTAATATCGGGCGCAGCATAGTAGTGGTAGTAATGATTGGCGGTTCGATAGAACTGTGCGGAGGAGCGCTGCGACACCAACAAACTCCCTCTACATATTTAAAACACCACGGCGAGCTTAGATCGTTTAGATTTCCTAGTACTACAGTAGCAGGCCCAGCAAACTGGTAAGCGCCTTCAGCCGGGCTGATCAATTACTTTAGCTTTGGCATTTTTCATGTATTCCCGAGAAGTTTCGCCGCTCATTTGACTCTTAGAGGCCCTCACGTCGTTTTGTAGTTATTTGTTTGCGACACCACCAACAGCTTACCTGCACGTGGCCGCGGGTGAGGTCGATGGTGTCCACTACCGACGTAGGTGGAGCTGCAGCAGTGTGCGCCTCCGGGAGTAAGGTAGCCAAGCAAACCGCAACAAATACAAATACAAATACAAATACAAATACAAATACCAAGACTGGCTGACGCTGCCTTGTTGCTACTACAAAACAGTTCATTTCATGACTTTGGTAAGATCCCATAATGTATTGATTGTCTACTCCCTCGCGTCCTCCGACAACGCCTCGGTGCGGAGCATGTGTGCGCGCTCGTCGTGCACTGCTTCGCTCGGAGGCGTCCTCAGAGGACACGACAGGGTTCATGGGCCGCACTACCGGGGGAAGAGGGGCTCTATTTGGTTATGCATTAACTAGAATTCACTATAAAGCCCTGAACGTTTTGTTTGTCAAGCTGGGCTAATGGTTCGGGTGCATTTATTTCTTAACCATTCTCAAACAAGCGTGTACATTGTAGTTGGCAGTAGGGCCGCACTACCGACTACATGTTCGTGCTTGTGAGCGCCTTATTTCGTCGGCTCGACTGTAGGTGGCACGAGCAAATCAAAAACGGCAAAGCGGTTGTCCTCGGGTTCCTACATGCTCAACGGAGGAACGCACGCAACGACACTACCCTCTGAAAGTTTTGGCCAATCGTATGGTGCAAATTGTTGTCCGACAAACTGTCTTACGTTTTGACGGACAAAATACAATGTAGCCACTGGTATACTAAAACCAAGATGTAGCCAAAATGCGTTGATTGCAAAACGTAAGACGCTTTGTCATCTTACGGCAGGCTGTCTGGGGCTAAGTATCGTCTTACGAAAGAGCATGAATCCAGCTTGGTAGCTTTTGTAAAAAGCTATGCAAGTACTTAGTAGTAGATTTGTAGCCATGAGTTATACTGATTTAAACTACCACTATGCTACGCACTCCGCGCGGTCCTCCGACCTTAAACGCTCGCTACGCTTACTTGGACAGATGCCAGGTTCAGGAGTAGAGCTTCAGTTTGGACAGCCCAGCCGGCCAAGGAAGAATTTTACTAAAAGGAGGCACCTAGAACCCCGCTTTTCTAGTTTGTATGCAGATGGTTTTCGTGATGCAGTGGTGCTATCTAATTGCGCGGACCATGTATGTTGCGCTGATACGAAGAGATCGCTAGGTGATAATAGTACCTTATACAGTATACATGCAGCTCTATGGGTGTATGAAAGCATCGGCACGGCAACTAGCTTACGAGAGACAAGTATAGCTAGCACGACAGATGAGGGCATTTTGTCTGAGTGTCGGCCCGTTCGGTTGTTTTGCAGCGAGGTAAGTCCAGCTAGTTCGAGCGGAGTTTTTACCGTGAGCACGGGGGGAAGGCATTGCTGCTGCGGCGACCGAAAAAGCTGAACTGAGGACTCGGTTGTATCGCTACTCTAGTTCTAAGGAACGGCCTGTGGTCTGGATCACTCATCATTTTCTCTGCGTTTTCATACAACTTTCCTTAGGATTACACGGAGAATGAATTTGTTAGGAATACACGGTCACTTCTTACGAAGGAGATCGCGCTAGAATCTACGCCATGATCGCTGCGGCCTTTATGCTGACAAGCTGCAGGGGCTGTCCTACTCCGAGTGGCGCGGCTAACCTTTAGGCTACTTGCGTCTTGGCCCCACGTTTTTCGGATAATCCTGTAGGTTGGTACAGTTTGTCCAGAGAACTAATGTCTTAATTGGTAGGTTTGTAGCCGAGCGATTTTGGTTTGCTTCAACGGACTTGCATACCGTTTTCAGGCGCACATCCAGCCCAATTCTCTAGTTGGCCATTTTTGGCGCCCCCAATTTTGTTTCGGCTGCCTGATGTACATGTACTGTCGCCGCATCAATTTCACGAGGAAAATTAGATATAGAGCGAAAGTATGGCATTCCTGGCTAGTTCGTGATAGCTTTTTGGGAAGTGGGCGTATTTCAACTTGTGTTCCTGGATATGCATGCATTCGCAGCTCCTTTAGCCCCCCCCCCGATCTCTTCAGCCATGAACGAGTGTTGATACCCTACGGGTTCTCGCCAAAAAAGGATATGGCGCCAGCCGCTACGGCAGCTCGATACGAAAACTCGATTACGGCTTCCATTAACCACAACAACTCTGGGGGTCAATGAACTCGCTCATCAAAGCAGACGTTGCGACGTAATTGTAGGAATGAGCTCTTATTATTGCGTGTACACCACACGGTGGGATCGACATCGTCGTTGTTATAGTGTAAAGCGATGCCGAAATCATCACGACTGGAACACTTCAAGGCGGGATCCCGTCAGCATGTTGACCGAGCGAAAAAAATCGGATGGATGTTGCTTGAGCGGTAGATAAATTAGATGTCGCAGGTATATATAATTGATTAGGGAGTATCAAATGTAATAGGTAATTTGTCTTAATCTCAACCGGATGGGTCAACATAGCAGCATAAATTGATTAGGGAGCAGGTTATTTAATATAACAGGAATCTCGACTGCATATGTGAGCAGCAAAAAATATCATATTGGTCAGGTATTTGATGCAAGAATAATGGCACCTCAGTGGTGGACTCTGGATAAAATCCAGAGAATTATCGTGGCTTTAAGGAGAAATAAAGACTAAATCATCGCAGATGCTGCTTCTCTAACGGTTAGAGAAGGCTATTCAATGGGTTCGATGCCATGTTCACTCAGGTATCTATTATATTTTCCAGATATCAGGTTCTGTGTGTGCGAGATCTGGTAAATTGGCTGCTGTCAAGTGCTTTTTCAAAAATCAGTGCCGTAAAGTAGGTAGAGATTGATTAGAATCGTGGTCACCACGACAGACTAATTATGAACATTTTTAGCCAGACTAATAATGAAGACGTCAATTTTTGCTTGACACGAATTAGTCTGGCCCAGACTAATTTTGAAGCCAGACTAATTTTGAGCCCAGACTAATTACTGTAGGCACTGTAGTGGCTACGAAGGTGTCCATGGAAGTCATCGTTGTAGCTGCTACCCAGTATTGTGTGCGAAATATAACTCTTCTTTTCAGGAACCGTTTGTTTCTGTTGGAAGTTTTTGAATTGGTAGTAGTTTAGTAGTAGTAATACCGCTTTGTCCTACTGAGGTCTTAACAATACATAGTACTACGTCGTACTACTGGCTCCTAACTGTGTTTGTAGTACTGTGGTGAACTGCACGGAGGTAGGAGTATGTTGTACTACTATAGTACTTCAAGAAAGAGTACTTCTTCTTGTACATTTTCGAGTATCAGGGTAGTATGGTTTGACATGTGAAGTGTGATCAATACTTTCAAAGTGTTGTTTGGTACTGTGCTAACATTTAGGATCGTAAGTACATGTATTATCTACGCTCTCAAGTACGAAGCACTGAAGACTCTACAAGTGATATTCAACCTGCTTACTTTGCGAATGTGGGTCAACGCAATACAGTATCCGAAGTCACTTGTTTGCGTTGCGTTACAGCATATTAATACATGTAGCATTACAGGTACTGACAACCTGATATAGTTGTTATTCACACCCAGGCAGCAACAGCTTGCACGCGAATCTACGTATGAGTTCTACGAAACAGTACTTACGCTATGCAACGTTGCCACGCTGCCAGCTCCGTTCCGCTTTAGACTCGGTTATGTTGGATGTATCCAGAATTTTTTACGCAATTAAAGCTAAAATCATCGGTCTAGTCAACAAGACGCTTGTCATACTTGTGCCCAAGTTAAATATGCAACGACAGAACATCTAAAAATACAGAAGGTGGTAGACTTTTGCGATGCATTATATAGCCTTGTCGTTTTTCATAAGTGCATCAAGCTTAACGTAGCATTTGGATGTCCAGTATTCTCTGAAATTTATTACAGAGTCTACTGATACCACTTTCCGCGCTATTTTTATATATCAGAGTTTAGCAACGCCCTCTTTGCTTAAATGGTACTACGTAGTAGATCTGCCGTACGGGTCACCCAGTTCTCAAACTTCATAAATAACGTTTTTTGTTAAAAAAAAACACAGCCTTCGTAATTTAAAGGGTCTGATTGTCCAAAAATATTACATATAAGTCTAAAACGTAAAGAGTCCTTGAACCAATGCATAATGGAAAACCTTTAAGATCGTATACCTCTAGTCTTTATGAATCGCCCACGTAAATGTTGACCCTGTCGGCGACGCGTCCATCTTCGCGCAACCAGCGATTGCAAGTAATTTAAACGGTAATTTATTATGTGTGTTTTTCTTGGGATATCTTGGGATAAATGAAACTTTTCATTTAGCCCATGGCTAATCGACACAAGCCGAATTCGCTTTCATCGCGACGAGCACGGCAGCTCAATGCAGTTGCAACACGCTGACATGCCGGAGCAGGAGCTGTCCGTTCTGCGCATCTACTGAGGGGACAACGAGCTGCTGCTCGCGCCCAGCAAGAGCGCGACCAGGACCAGGAGCAGCACAGCGAAGACGACGACAAGGAGCAGCTGCAGGCCCGCCAGCGCGAGGACGTGGATATGAACTCGCGCACACCCATCGCCTTTGAGGCGGATCTGCTGACGGAGCGCACGCTCTTCCTCGTTGCACGCAGCTCGAGGTACAGCAGCGACAACTCGGGACGAGCTGCGGGCCGTGGCGTTCCCACTGTTCCAGTCTGTGAATTTGTTCATGAAGCGGAGGAGCTACCAGCATCGCCGACTTCGGGAGGGCGAGGAGCAACGCAGACTGAGGAGGCACACGCCGCTCGGCGCCGAGAAGTACGAGCTCGGACCCACGTACACCTTCGACAATCTGGCGCTGGGCAGCAAGACGGACGACTACATTGGTGTCGTGAGCACCATGAAGGGAAACCCATGCGAGGACCCCGTCACGCCGCTTATACTGGGCACGGCGCCGCTGCTGTTGCACGTCTGCCACTCGTACGAGGCCGACGACTCCAGTTGATGTCTTACAAGCAGTTGACAGTTTGTTTTGGTTTCAAAGACGCAGGATTTCGATGAAGTCCTGAAGCAGTAATTGCTCGTTGAAAGCTTCAATGGAGAGCAACTGGACAGCGTGTTTCAACTCAATGCCGAAAGCCAAGCCTGGAACGAACCGAACGCGAACACGACTTCCCCCGATTTGTCGCGAACCGATAAAACCTCGAGAACCTGGTTCGCGAGGTTTTACAGGTTCCTTTGTCGTCGTACCTATGCGAAGGAACCACTTGAAACGGCTCAAATGTGTTCGTTTATTGGCATTGTGGTTGGATAAAATTCTTTGCTATTGGAACTACTCCGTGCGGCTTATTGCGAGTATCAAACCACACCCTTCCTTCACCGCGATGTACGCCCTTGGCCCTTTCGACGGATCTTAGCATAGTGAGGACCACCATCCCGGTACGATGGACTAGCTGACTCACCTTCATCGTCGCCGTCAAGTCACCCTTCAAGAGGACTTTGTCGAAGTCAATGGGAAGGCTGAGGAGCTCTGCAGCATCCGCCATGACACCGAGCAACAAGCGCTAGCTGTCGTTGAACATCGCGTCGACCAGATTGTTGCAAGCACAAGATACGAGTTCGAGCACGCCGCAGCCTTGATGGAGCAAAACATGCAGCTTCGCCTTGAGGGGAGTTTTAGAGCGTCTCACGCGGCAGCACAATCGACAGTGCGTGATGCTGTTCAAGCGATCTCTGATCGCGTAGACTCAGCGGAGGCCAGCCTCGTTGAAGCTCGCGCTCGTCTGGATGAGGCTCTCGATATTCATGTAGCCAACTTACAATTGATCGCTCCGGAAAATATAAGGCAACAGATTGCTGAACTCTGCGAAGAAGGTGTTCATGAAGCTTTACGGTCGGCGCAGATATCGTTTAACGCAGCCGTCGAAGAGAAGGCGGAGTGCCACGCGTCTCTAATCGAGCAGCGTCTTTGGGAACGGGTCGACGACACTCAACGCCAAGCGCAAAACGCAATGACAAGTCGAATGAGGGCTAGCGAGGATCAAATGCAAGCACGACTTGAAGCATTGTTGGCTGCGGCCTCCTCACACACGGATTCGAGTGTCACTTCGCTCGAATCAAAGTTGGGCAAGAAAACTATCGAGTTATGCAGCACTTTGGAGCGCTCCATGAGCAAAAAAGTCAGTATGAGTGTGAAATCACTCGAGAAAAAAGTTAATGACCGACTTGATGCAGCTAAAGTGCAGATCCTGGGCGAAGCGCACATTCAGGTGCTAGCTGCTGTTGCTCAAATGGAGACTCGGGTATCAAGCCTCCAGCATCTTGTTGAAGCGCAACAGCTAGTAGAAGCTGACAAGGATGAAGTGAAAGAGGCTCTTGCTGCTCAGATGGAGCGGATGCATTTATCGCAAAAACTTAGCGCTGAGGGTTTGGATGATCGAATTCAGCGCGCGATCCGCGATCTGGAAGTACGGGTTGAAGGTACCACACGGAAACAGGTGAATGAATTGGAGCGGCTTCAATGGTAACAACAACAAGGGTGCGTGCTGGATCAAGGTAGTGGGAAGTCAAAAAAGGTTCGGGCAAGCCATGTCGCCGTCGTAGACGTCCGGAAGTTCCCCAATTGAGAGTAATGACCCCGAATGAGTCACCACTCGAGCGTGCGAGGAAGATAGCACAGACAGTGGTGTCGGATCGTATGGCCGCGCGTATTTGAGAGTTAAAAAGCAGGGTTGTCAGGTAGAGAAGTAATAGTAGCCTCCAATACAGCAACTATTTGAAGTCTTTTGCGTTTTCGAGACACGAATGCCCGAGACATCAACAGCATCATAGTGTAACGTGATCCTAGCATGGTCGCCGATTACATGGCCCGAGTTGACCTCCTTCATGATGAGTAGCTGCGCGTTCCTTTAGCAATTGGCTCGATGGTAAACGGTGCCCACAGGAGTTGAAGATATCCATGTTTGTTGCACAGTTTGTTTAATTCGATCGTCAAGTGATAGTGTGCAACATGCAATGTTGAGCAGAATATAAATCTATGCATGCAATGCTACCTAGTATTCCTTCGGTTGGGGATGCAGCAGGACTTGAGTGTCTTTAGGCTAGCTCAGTTGACAGAGAGAAGGCACTTGACAGCGCAATTTCCCACTCACTTTCAAACATCGCCATGGGGTTCAATGGCTCCAAGTCGATCGTCACGTTCGAATGGATAGCATTCTTGGCCTCATCTGGCGTGAGCTTGGGGTACTGCGTGACGTCAATAAATCCCCGATTTCGATTCAGGAAAGAGCACATATCAATGTTGGCTCCTGAAAGCGAGGCACATTGCGATGTCACCATCATTCTGCTGACCCCGAAATCTCGCTCAATTTGAGCCAACGAAGCTGGAACAGCGAACACGATACGCGCGACTTGAGGTTAACAGCGATAGGTACCAGTCTCTAGCATCCGCTTCCAAAAGTTGAGAACAGTCTCAACATCGGTCGCTGATGTGGCTACCAAAAGTTGTGGGTCGCTGAACCACCGGTCCAGTTCCTCATCAACCCGGCCTTCGAGCAGCATCTGTAGAGTCGGTTGCTCAGGTGCCCGGGCCACCGTCAGCGGCAAGAAGTCGCACAGGTCCTCTGAAAATCCACCATTGGGATAGAATGCCGCCGGCACTTGCATCACAGGCTCGGCTTCCGAAGGTTGAAGAGACATCATGATCGTCTTGAGTCGCTGGAGAACAAGTTGCTTCACGGCGCTTTTATTGCGCTCAATCACGCCATCACTTAGACGCTGGGACCTTCCACAAGCACCCACTATGCCCACGAGCATGCCGTCGATATTTTTTGTGTGGGGGTGCAGCAGCAACTGTATTTCCCACACAAACGAGCACTTCTTCATCGCTTCACGGCAAGTGTACCGAGAGAAGAACCGCGTTTGAAAGGGTTGGCTCCGCAGGTTCCGTGTGGTCTCCGCTAACAGCAGTAGCTCGGTGGGGTGATCATGAACAACGTGCTCTATTGTCGAATCAAACTTGACGAGCGGTTGGTCCACAGCCAGCGTCTTCATACCCAGCTTGTACACAGACAAGAGGACGTCCACTTGGTTGACCTTTTCGGCTTGGCTCTTGACGTTCACTGCAGAAATGGGGACGAGCAGCGACAAAAGCTGCTCCATGAGCTTCTTCTGGCCGGATAGCGGAAAGGGGTTCGGAGAAATTTTTCCGTCTCGCTCGAATTTCCTTGTGCGCTCCTCGTACCACAACTCGAACACGTCCCAGTGTTTCACAATACGGCGAAATACTTGAGTTAACCCCATAAAGCGATGGGGCTTGTAGTCGACTAGCTTCCATTCCTTGCCGACCCCAAGAGCGTCGACCAACTCAGCGTAAAGGCTCCCCATCACCTCCACCGACCGAACCTGATAAATGGTGACTGTCACCTTGCTGAGCAAAGAACGCATTCCAGGGTTTCGATCACCTGTCATGCCAAAAGCTTCCTTCGTAGCGGCATTGGTAAGATGGGGCCAGCACCACTCCCATTGGAGGCGTAATCCAGACTCCATCATCCACTTGACGTCCGGTCCGCCGTCCGTCGTCGCCCCGAAGAAATCTGCAGTTGTTAGACCGAAGTCACCTAGGATCTGCTTAAGCCATCGCGCATACGGTTCCCGAATACCTTGATCTCGTTCACCGTAAAGCGGCTTGAAGTGACGAGTCCCAAGGAGAATTGAACCAAACTTCCAGTCGTTGTCAATGTAGTATAGGCGGAGACCGACGAACTTCATCCCCAATGTTTTACAGGTCCAAAAGTCGGTCACCATTGTGAAGAATTTCACACCAGGGATCCGATTCACGCGAATGACGTGTGTCATTTCCACCACGCCGGACGCGTACAGCTCCTCAACCGCATGCGTTATGGTCTGCCTGTTCACAACAGCTCGGAACTCTTCCTTCGTGATCACGGCATGCAGAAGTTGGGATTCTTCCCATTCCCCGACAACGAACGGCAAATTGTTGTGCACGACTTGTAGAGTCTGGAGTAGCAGACTGATTCGTTGGCAGTTCTTCTTCAACGTTGCCGACGCTAGGATTCTGGTTACTTCTTCATCCTTTGTTCGTTTGCGTGTGTCCTCGGTTGCAGTCTTTCCCGACATGATACCGTGCACTTCCTTCAAGTGTTTTGTAGCGCGAGACGTCTTCCCCCCGTACAGCACCTGGATGGCTTCTGCATCTCGGCAACTGTCTGCTGCTAAGCAAATCCATCCCACCAAAGCTGGGTCATTAGCTGGGTGGACGCGTACCCCCCCCCCCCCCCCTCACTTGAATATAAACGAACGTTCATTCGAAGTCGGAGGAACGAGCACAAATCCAAGCTTTGGGCGATAGCCTTCGACAGCTCTCTCAACTTCAGCAGGGATTACTTCCGGCGTGCTCACCGCTGTTAGCCCTGCTGCTGCCGTCAGCGATGGGTCGACAGTCTGCACGCGTTCCCAGCTGGCCCAATGGGTAGTGAAGTACGGAGACGCCTCATATCTTGCCCGACGAGTAGGCAGTCCTTCCGTCTCCACCAGTTAAGCCGAGGGGAAGCTAGCGCTGCGCCGAAGAACTGGTTGAGAAAGCACGCGTTGAGCCAGTGTCTGAGACGACTGTGGTACACTTGTTGTTGATAGTATGCACGTGGGCGTATGAGCACGTTGCAGCTCGCTGGATTGGCGATACATGATACCTCTGAGACCAAAAGGAGTACGGGTTGCATGTGTAAGTTAGCAGGTCGTAAACCTTAATGAAAACCAAGAGTACCATACCTTGGAACTGCAGCGGCCAAGTGTGCAACAATTGGAGGCGGTTGAGGAAAGGAAATTCAGGGAGCTTGTACAAGTGCTGGAGTGAACTTGTGTGCTTGCAGGTGAATTGAAGACTGCTAGTCAGAAGCTACCGCGCACAAGGAGGAGCGCTGCATCTCCGTTGCGTGAGCCGTAAGCGGCTCTTCGTGCATTGAATCGGGTGCGGTTGTTCAAGAAGGGAAAGTACGCATCCTGGTGGCCTTTTCAGCCAGTTAGTGCACGAACTCGGGAGGTTTTGCGTGAACACGCCACTAGCGTACCCAAGGACAGGCATATCAAACGAACATGAAAAACCCGAACCTGCCGTTTTTCTTCACTGCTTCCTGAGGTTTTTCAATTGAAGTCGGTATATCGGTATACCGTGTTCGGACGAAAGGTGACGTGTAACTGCGAACCAAAAAAGTTGCGTACCGTGGTTCGGTTTGCTCAGGTTCGTTCCAGGCTTGCCGAAAGCACTTGCACTCTCCTTCATACTTAAGTATTGGCTGGTGAAGTTATCGTTCACATTTAATTTGAAGTCATAACTTTTTTATGGTTAGCAGTAGTCAATAAATACTACGTAGTATAATATATGTCAGCAAGTAACGAACGCCACAAGCACAGTCGAGGTTTTGCTAGAAAGTGGGGAATACCTAAAGCTGGGGAAACCTTCGCGGGAGCGAGATGCAGAACATTGAAATTTTAATCTCAATGTCCTGCAAAATGTTTGGACTTCACAGGCGAAATTCCAGAGATTCTTCGTGCACAGCACGACTTTGTTAGGTATGAACAGAACTGTTTGTCCACTTTGTTGGACGTACTGAACACCACGGTGAGATTGGTACCCGCGATGCTCGCCGTCACCTCCATGGTGCCAAGTGATAGACAGCCCTCGTGGAGGTAGTAGTTGGGTGATCCCGACCCATGGTGTGCGCGCATTTGGTTTTTGTTTTGTTTTTGAATTGAGGATCATTATTGTCACTTACCTAATACGATCGCTAACGACTAATGTGCGCGCATTTGAACACGAAGTGGGGAGTTTGACGGCGACGCTTCACCGCTTCACACGGCAGGTTCCACAAGAGCAGGTAGAGCTTTTTAGCGTCAGCATTCGCCCTACAGATCAGCGTAGTTGGGGCGCCGATGCTGCCGGATATGCAAGCAGAGAACCCCGCCAGGGTCTAATCGATCGGCATTGGCAAACGCAGCAAGGTTGAAGCAGGGCTGAAGCCTGTCACGTCAATGCGTAACGCAGACTCCGAGAGGTCACTCGGAAAAGTAAGAGCGCATGCTCGGTTTTAAACGAGCGCGAGAATGACGGTTGGGAACTACTTGAGATAGCCGCATGGAGGCGTTTCAATAGCGTTTGGGTGCGACGCAAAGTAGTCAGCTGCGCATTGGCTATAATGATTTTGAATGAAACTGCTGATCTTTCATACAAATTTCAAGATGTCGGACCCGTGGATACTTACTGACCCGTAAAAAACAAAAGTGAGCGTGTGCGGTATTGACTGCGCCATGCTGAACGGTATCTCTGTAGAGGTCGCCCATTGAAACCTTGGAAAAAGTGGTGATCAATATGTGTCGTACTTAAGCCGTTCCGGACACTTATACTCTTAGCTTTTCAAGCTTCGAGAACAGTAGTGCTGCTCGAGTCTCTTCGAGGCTCTTCGCGCACGATATCTCTCAGCTCACTAAAAGCAAATCGCTAAAAGCATACAAAAGCTTCTGTTTTTGCAAGCTCGGTGAGCTGCTACTTGGTATTAGTACTACATGTATATATATTATATTTTTGTACTAATACTCATATTACTGCTTATATTACTAATACTAGTACCATTAGTACTATTGCTGGTACTGTTGTTACTAGTATTCGTACTATTATTGCTCTTGCTACAATATCTACTACTATTGCTATTCGCAATGGCTGATATTGCTGCTATTGCTAGCCCGCTACGCTCGCTCCACATGAGCTCGCGGTCTACTCTTGGCTACCTCCTTAGCTTCAGCTCCTGAGCTCGTTCTCTGAGCTCTTCCTGATCTACTTTTCGTTATCTCGCTTGCTTCACCTTCTGAGCTCGTAGACAGAGAACTAGCTCCTCACCCCATCGCCCGCCGATATACTGTTCGTCGCCCTGGTCTCGTCTTGCACCGCCATGAGCTCATCGAGGCGTTCGCCCTGGTGGTAGAGAGCTGCTCTTGGCAGACGTGCTTTTGCTTTCGCTCGAACTCGAGTCCCTACAACTGCTCGCTCTCCTACAGCGTGTGTCTACGCTTCTGTCTTGCTTCTACGTCTTGCGCTCCTGCTCAAGATGCATGGGTTCAGCGATCATGCAGCTAGCAGCCATGCTTCGATTGACCGAATAAAAAGCACCACCTGCCCATACAGCGAGCTGCACAGAGCTGCATGCCATTCTTCTCACGTGTCTTCTCATGTGTGCGAAGCGTAGAGCGCAGCGCTCCCTTGGATATATCCCAACGCCCGCCATGCTTGTGTGTGCTTCTTTCGCTGCTGCTTTGCTTTCATTGGCTGAGTAAAGAACATTACCCGCGCATACTCAAACCAAGATGCGGATGTTTTTTCTCGAAGGGTCGCCCTGAAACTGTCACCCGGTGACAGCTCTGAGGGGTCGCCGTAACAAAAGTAGGGAAACCTGCTGGCTTTCCGCGCAGTCGCATGCGTTTTATTTCTATTTGGATCGGTTCACCATAGTAAGCTCAAGTGAGCCCGGAATCCATGTTTGCGCGCCCCCTTGATTGGCTGCTGACAGGGAAGTAGCGCAACTTAAACAGGTCGTGCTTTGCACGGGCAAGCTCTGGATTTTCGAGTCTTTTTTCCATTTTTTTATTTACATGTATTGTGCTTTGCAGACTTTTGGTACTTCGGACTGTAACTTGTACGACTTATCGAGCACGACTTATTGATAAATCGTACTCGAGGAGTACGAATTGCTGAAGTCGTGGATGGTCAATCAGCACTAAGTAGTGCGCATACGCCATCTCCTGCATGATTTAGCACATCCAGCACCTTTTGGCAATTTTAGAAAGTGCCATTTCCGAACCAAACCGGGTTCGAGACTCGACTTAGCAACTCGCATTCAAGGCCACTATGATTTACCGCTAAGTGCGAACACTAAGTATTGCACTACATACTGGATGCAAAGCACAATACTTGGGCTGTCTACAGGGCCGCTCGCTTGATATGGGTCGTGATGTTTTGATGAACGTTTACAGATACAGTATTGCCCCACTTGTGTTATTCACTAAACTTCGTCTTCAATATATTTAATAAAGTAAAAGGGATTGTAGGTTTCATCAAGCGCACGTACAGTTGGCGTTTGTAGTAGGTGGCGGCTTTCTTGATCGACGTCTTTGGCAAAGACTCTTTGCTCAATGAGGCCACCCAGTTTCGCCGGTTGTGCCTTGTCGATCGTTTAGATTGCTCGTAGGTGATCCTCTTTCCGCGCAAACTGATTATCACGCGGTGTTTGAGGTGTAAACCACTCACTACCAATAGGAACAAACCGGAGAGCACGCCAAGCAAGGTATCATTAAACATGGTATTGACTTGACATGGTGTTCCGCTGAGTTTCGACTCGTCGATCTTAATATTTAAAGGGTTAACGCGAGACTCTGATTTGTTTAACACAATGATATAAAACATGATCATGGTTATTTTTAATCTATTGGAAGGGTGGGGGGCGTCGGCCTGTATAGCACAGGTTGTAATGAAGGCTCCACTGCAGAGTGTTCATTTACAATACAACTCATCAGAGCAACGCGATTGAGATCCTCCAACACTAGTCATTGGGCGAAAGCCCCATGATGGCGAGCTTACTTGCAGTGTTTCCGGTGTCCTTGCCGCTCAAATATTTACATGAGGGCACGCTAGCAAAGTATATATTGGTGTGCTGATGAGGCATTCATCTCACTTATATCACGTTCTGCTATTTGCTTCCACAGTTTAGCAAAGATTCTGCTACGTTTCCGAATACGGTAGCTTCGTTTCCTTTGGTAAGTATACCTCTAGTATTTAATAATCTGGTATGTGATATTACAGGTACATATGGTTGTTGCTCGAGTGAGTGAGTTTCATGACCATCATTATGTTCGATGTGTATTGAGGCACAAGCAACATTCAGTTTTGTCGTGAAATGATTGCGTCGGTTTAACGCAAACATAAATCTATTATGGTGCTATCATTTCAAAATTGGTAGGGGTTTCGGGATTCACCCAACAACTCTGGATTAAAATCCAGAGAATAAGGAAGATTCCGCGACCGCACGTCACCGCTCAAGTTTATTTTCGGTGGTGCGACGCTTCCTTATGTG